CTACTGCTGTTACTGCTGCTACTGCTGCTACTGCTCCTGCTCTGCTCCTGCTCCTGCTGCCACTTCCACTGCTACTGCTGCTGCTGCTGCTACTGCTACTGGCGACGGCGATTAGAACGACGACGCTCCGCACGACATAGTCGTAGGGGCACCAGAGCTAGTACCAGAAATGCTTCAACTTGGCGACGTAGAACGTAGTGCACACTTGAAGCTTGACTTGACGAGAACTTACGAGGTAACTCGGGGGAAGTTGGCATGCTCCAAGAGTCCTTCAGAATCTGCCGGCCAACTCGGTTAAAGGAACCAATCGGATCTGCCAGGTCGTACTCCTCACAGGTGCCAGAGATTTTCCATAGCTGACAACAGAAGGGAAGGAGCAGAGCAAACGCAAGAATCTTCACAGAAATCCTTACCAACGACAGAGTCCCTACCTCAGTGTACTCGGTTGTGTAGGCAGGCTTCCCTCGTGGCCAGCAAGTGGCGGGATTTGCCTTGCAGGCCGAGGTCACCAAAGCTCCAAAGCTACAAAGGGCTAACAAATCCACAAGCGCAGTCGAGAAGTTTAGGGCGGACACTCCAACTCCATCCTCCAATCCTGTCAGCGAGTCGGAAGCCGGAGAAAGTCGCTAATCATTACGAAAGAGTGAGTAGCAGCAAGTCGAGTCTGGGCAGATGAGGACGCCGCCGACCGCGGCTTCAAGAACTTCGCTCCTTGAGCCGCACTGACTCCACAACTAGATCTGCAAAACACAGCCGAGGCTGCACAAGAAAAAGGGATCACATCTGGCCAGCATGTCCTGCTTGCAGTTGCCGTGGCTGCAGCACTGCTCTTGGCCGCGCCTGCATCGGCTCAGACAGTATCTTTGGAATCAATGCAAGCGCAAAATATGTTAAACATCCCCGACGAACGTGGGCCCTGCTCCCCACGCTCCTTAGCACGAATTCTCGATGTGTCTCAGCGGAACCTACACCCAAATCCCAACACTGCCCATTATCAAAACCGTGCCTGAGTGCCGCCCATTGGCCTTGGCTTAAAGGAGCAGTCAGTCTCAGGACTCGCGTTGAGACATGTGCAGTAAGCTCTATGTAAAGCTGATCAGCTCTGCGCTACTCCTTTTGACTGTTGGTCATGCAGCATCATCAAGAGTCATAACTGGGCTACTGAATCACTGACGCTTACAGCTCATTCAGGTTCATGTTCAGTGTACTCGGTCTGGCAATATGAAGAATTCAGACAACAAGAAACGTGAAACACGCGAGTCATAGCCACATGCATGAGGATATATCATCCAAGCTACAATAAACCGATCAGGCACGCTTCGATTCTCTGCTCATGGTGAGTAAGTGAGACGACATGAGTACGAACCTGATCGTTGTGTGGAACAAGCTAATGATCATTACGACGATAAGAACTAGGAGACACGAGAGTGCAATGAGACATCAGCAGTTGGATCTAGCGCATATCCGGCATCTCCTCCAACACCAGAGTAGCAACAAAAAACAAAACAAGAAGAACTGAAGAAACGCCCGCTACTGCAACTGCTACAGCTATACTGCTAGTATTTGCTGCTTCCGCTGCTACGACGGCGACTGCTGTTCCTGCTAAAGGAATTCGCACCCTTACTCCACCAAGTCATCCTCACATTGGGTTCGATATTCGTCGTCGCCATTGCCATCATAATGGTCGCCCAGTTACCATCATCATTGTAAACAAACACTTACCACCACCTCTAAATGACATGACTGAGTACGCAAACCTCGCGCAAAAGCCAACTGGGAGTCTGGGTTCCCAACCAATCTGGAACGAGACAAGGCTTTCTTGACTCCTGGCTTGCAGGGTAAGGACCCCTTTTCAAAGGATCCGCGGGGCGAGCCAAGTCACAGCCGAAGGGAAGACAGGTGAAGGGGTGATCTCCGCTTGGTAGTAGGGTGGATATGGCCAAGAGGAAATCTCAGCTCCAACCCAACAGGACCCCTACTTGCAACCTGCATCAAGAAGTTTCTTACCCTGAACCCTAAACCCTGAACCCAAAACCCTAATTAGTCAAGGGCCCTGCGGTAATCCACAGCTCTGGCCTCCAGCAAGGATGGCGGCTGCTCCCGCACAGGCCCAATGCCTGGAGATTCTCCGAGGGCAAAAAAGACAAATAGCACTGGTGTGTGTGTATATATATATGTATAGATATAAAGGCATGTATATGCACATATATATATATACATATTATTATATATGTATGTATGCATGTATGTATATATATATAGATAGATAGATAGATAGATAGATAGATAGATAGATGGATGTGTGTGTATATATACATATATATACATATATATATATGTGTGAACTTGTGGTTGTGATCTGAACTTTTGGTTGCGGTTTTGCGACAAATAGTAGGTCTTGTTTAGGTTTCTTATGCTTCTTACAATCAGAGTACCGTGGTAAGGGTTCGACATATTTGGGTCTCCTGTTTTGCCGAAACTCCTATGCAGCACTGCATGGTGCAACACCCTGACAGGCAATGCGCAGAGTTCAGTCAAACTGGTAAAACCTGTGCTGTTAGCTCGTCCAGCCTCTGCCCGAAGCCAGCTTCGCTGGATCCTGTACTGAAGGGACACGGGTGGACGGGCCACAAAAACGAAGGGGACAATTCAAGAAGTGGCGGTGATGACGACGACGAGCATGATGAGAATAATAACTCCTCATGACGGCCATGATAGTGAGTGGAGGCAAATGTTGATGATGCGCAGCTGTCAACGGCAGCAACGATCGAAATTACGACAATGGTCAAGATCTTCCTTTCAAGGACATAACAACCACGGTGCAGATGCTGGTGCTGCGTGTGTATTCATACACAGCCAAGCATCCCTTATGCAACTGCACTTCTCCTCCTCCTCGTACTGCTACCCCACGACAGCTGCTTCTCAGGATTACCATTACTACTGCTTTGCGTGTCATGTTGGTAGTATTGCACTAACCACAAATTCTGATTCGGGAACGCCTCGAAGCAACGAGCCGGCAACCCATTCATTGACGACGGATCTCTTGGGAAGGTGCGAGTTTTTTCATGCCATTGAATTGGACGATTTTGTCAAGTCCCGTGTTCATAACAACGTTTAGAAGGAGGCGCGGCGTGGAGCTAGTTGCCATTTCTTAAAAGCGGTGCAATGTTTCCTCCATCCACAGTATTACCTATGAACTTTGTTAGTGTTATCTAGTCTCTATGGGTGGTACAATTCCGAGTACTATTGCAAGCACTTGTACTACTTCTCGTACTGTTCCTCGTACAGGGGAGTCGACAAAATAATCTCATTCAACAGAAGTGCGGATGCCTGGTGCAGAGGAACGTGAGAGCGAAGGAATTGTACCTTCGCGCGTGGCAGCTGTCTGCAGGTCCGTCGAAAACTTGAAGAGCAAACCGATGCTAATGTACGGGCCTCAATGATTAGAATAGGGTTTGGGTATATTATACTAAGACTATAAGACCCCTGTACTAGTTCCGCAACACCGACGAACATCTCACTTTCCACAAACTGCGGCTTTATGAACAGGTCCTGCCTTGGCCTCTGAGGCTGGGTGTGTGAACCTGCAGGCATCGCACTGTCACCGCGCATGTTTTCTTGGGAACGATTCTCCTTTCCGCTACACGACACACGTGTTCTGGTAGCACTCTGTAAAGGCTGATGTGGTGGCAACAGTGTTGACACAAAAACTATCGTCTTGAGATATCAGCATGCAACGATGCAACTTGTGCAGAATGAACGACGACAAAACATGCTGGTCGAAGAGTCAGACATCCATTTTGCCCACTTGTCCGGCTGTGTCGAGCAGTGGCGAGGTCTGCGATGCTAGGGATTTTGTTCATTCCGATATTGGTTCAATGTATTCGTGCAGCATACGTTTGAAACTTTCGGAGGACGAACCGATTCCCAGAGGATCGGTCGGTACTGCAAGCAGAAGGCAGGGCAGAGAAAAGACGGCAGGTCTGAGAGGGAGGAAGAAAACTAACAAATCGAAGGTTTCGCCCACGTGGGCCACGGGGCCGTGCTTAAGCTGACATGTTAAAGGTCCTGTCGTTCGAAAGCACGAAATGCTGTCGTTGTCACTTTGTACACGACCGTCCCAGACGACAAGGGTAGTGATAAGATGCCAAAGTGTATCCTTTGCTGATGACGACTCAACACGCAAGTCTTCGAGCCAACCAAAACATAACAACAGGAATGACAGCCATGACCATGATGCCAGCAAGAACATTCACAACTAGGGATCGGGTGATGAGTCATCTCAGTCACGATGTCAATCACATGGCTGGTTTGCGGGTGAAAACTTCGTCCGGCCCAGTATAGGCTACAGCAAAGACAACCGGCAGTACTTGTTGTGCTTGGATGACTCTGTCGATGAAAACCCCCTTGGATCTGAGTGCAGTAAGCCTCTTCCACCCTGAACGCGAAAGCCTCATCCTTGAAAGGCCCAGCTTACCTTCGCTTGCTTGTGAATGCTGTTGTCGTCGGTCATCTGTTCCCTATATATCCAGATGAGCGGCGGTCAAAGCCTCTTTTCAATCCTTTGACGCTAACAAACCCTTGCGCGTTTATGGCGCGCGCAGCTTCCTCTGATGAGCTCCTCAGGCCCCGACACCGGAAGGAACCGCCCAGGCAAGGGCCTCAGCCGTCATATTCGACCACCCGCAAGAAGAGGCAGCAGCTCTTGAACTCTCGCTTTTACCCAAGGAGGAGTCGGAGTATATGATCCTGGGTGTGGCGTGGTTCGGGGATGAGGGCTTCTCATCATGGTTAGTACACTCCGTTCCTCTTAAGGGCACTAGAGGGTTCTATAATAGGGGGTCCCCTTTAAAGGTACTACAAAAGGGTAGCATAGGGTCCCCTTTAAGGGTACCTATAGGGTTCGAGAATCGGCCCGGAGGACTCCGAGGCGAGAGCTCCTGTAGCCAGCAGACCGGTCGCCACAGCGGCTGCGGGAGCCTGGTCTTTCTGTTTTGGGCCTTTAGGGGTGTAGGGGTTTAGGCGTTTAGGGTTTAGGGTTTAGGGGTTTAAGGTAGGGTTTATGGACCTTCGGCACTTGATGGGTGTGGTTGGTCTTTCGGGGTGTGTTGCTAAAGAATGTTGGCCTGGTTCGGGTTGGTGGTATATGATTGATTCTTTAATTTTCTGGCGGTCCTTCTGTGATTGTTGAGCTGCAGCTGCTCAGGCCGGTATTCTGGGAAAGATACTGTGACAAGAGCGCCAATCTTCGCGGTATGTGGCGCTGGGTTGCGAGGATCTGTCGATTTCCACCAAAACAACGACGAGGGCCTCTGCGCCTGCTCCTGCTGCTAGCTCTGTTTATACTCCTGCGCTCATCTCCGGGCAGACATCGGCAAAGACACTGCATCTCTCGGCCCGCGAGGATACCTTGAGCCCCAAAATCACCAGCAAATCGCAAACTCTGCGTGGAAGTTTTGGCTGCATTGTTGGAATACATCTTCGATCCCTACCCTTACACCATTCTCAAACCGCCCGCCTCAGCAAAGCTGCGCCGCTGCATGGCCCAAGGCTTGCAGGCCTTGTCTGGCGGTGCTGGCGGTAGTAAAGTGGTCTTGGTGGCAGCACCAGTGAGTCAAGCAGCTGCCTTGCCCGTAACACTGGGAAGCGGAATGCATTTTGAATGGGAACACAAGTTGCAAGCATCAGTCGGATTCTATCACCATCACCGAGGAGCAGCATCATTGACAACACCACCCCCACCACCACCACCACCGCTACCAGCGTCATCATCATCATCATCAACAACAACAACAACCACATCATTATCGTCATCATCATAACATCGTCATCATCAGCGT